CGTCTTCTTGGGCAGCACATACACCCCAAGTCATGCGAGTGTAGCATCCACTTTAGTGAGGAAGTACTCAGCTCCAGCAGCTCCAAGCTTGAAGGGGCCCACCACATCCATCACCACCTCATCTAGTGGTGCCTTCGCCGTTGTCTCCGAGCTATGGAACGGATAGCGGTTGAACTTGGCTTGCATGCATGTTGACAGCCAAGCACCTCATTGGGCTTCCCCCTTGACACGTATCCCACTGACCATCTCTTGCTTAACTATCTGCTGCAAAATAGGCAATGCCACATGCCCGATTCGCCGATGCAAGGTCAGCCAATCACACTCTCCCGTAGCGGAAGTCGGGTTGGAGAAAACGGCACTCGCAATTGTGCCACACAAGCTCTCTCCATTCTCCTTCCCCTCCGGAGTGGTCACCGGTCTCCACATTCCCTCCTTCATCGCCTCCCATTTTGCCCTCGCTCTCATCAGTACATCCTCAGCACACCGCGCCCCTCCTCATGCCACGTGACCACTCGTGCAGGCACCTCCACTCTCCCCCTCCCCTTCCTCTAGAGCCACCTTCCTCCAACTCCACCTCCCCCCATGCTCTTGTCGCGCACTGTCCCACCCCGCTGTTCTCATCCACCATCGCCTTGGTCATATGAATTTTTCCACACTTCGTTAAAGCCGTCTCCTCCCGCTTGCTTGACGGTCTTCCCCCCACTCTTCCTCCCCTCCCGTCCTCTTCCGCTCCCCATGCGCCAAATGCATTCATGGAAAGCTCAAACAACAACCTCACCTCAGTCATCCTTCCTTTGCTGCTGCCCCCCTTGACCTCGTCCACATGGACCTCTGGGGCCCTAACCCTTCCCCTTCCCGCCAAGGGCACCGGTACATGCTTTTCCTAGTCGACGACCACAGCAGGTACTCCTCGGTGTTCCTTCTCCACACAAAGGCCGAGGCCCCTGCTCTCATCGTTACCTGGGCCGAGCAGTGCCGTGTCCACTTTGGTCGCCCCATCCGCCGCCTCCATTCCGACGGCGGTGGTGAGTTTCTAAACCGCACCCTCTCCTCCTACTGCTCAACCCATGGCATCCGGCAGACTCATACCCTTCCCCACTCCCCTCAGAAGAACGGTGTTGCTAAGAGTCGAATTCGTAAGATCACCAAGACGGCCCGCTGCCTCCTCACTCATGCCTCCACGCCCCCTTCTCTTTGGAGCTATGCCCTTGTCCATGCTGCTCTCCTCACTAATCTTTACCCACATCCTCAACGCCAGTCCGTCACTCCAACAGAGCTCTGGGCTAGCACCAAGCCAGATGCTGCCATTCTCCGTATCTGGGGTTGCAAGGAAAATGTCCTCATCCCCCCACCTGACCGCTCTAGGCAGGCAGGAAAGCTCGCCTCCACGGCCATTGAGTGTGTCTACCTTTGCCACGCTCGCTCTGCCCCTGGTTACCTCTTCCTTCACCCGTCCTCAGGCCGCCTCCTACAGAGCCGTGACGTGGTGTTCTGAGAGCATCCCCTTCTATCATTCTGTTCCGCCTACCGACCCACTTCCTCCTCTCTCCCACCCCTCACCTGGGCTGATGGTGTCATTCCCCCACTCCTTCCCAAGGCTCCCCTCCTTCCTCCAAATCCTGCTCCTACCCCTCCTCCTTCCTCAGGTGACATTTACGACCCAGCTGTCCCTGACTCCCCTGCTCACTCTGCCTCATCGCACGAGCACCAGCAGCAGCAGCAGCAGCAGCAGCAGCAGCAGCAGCAGCAGCAGCAGCAGCAGCAGAAGGAGCAGCAGCAGCAGCAGCAGCAGCAGCAGGTGCAGCAGCAGCAGCGGATGGAGCAGCAGCGGCAGCAGCAGCAGCAGGAGGAGGCGCAGCAGCAGCAACGGATGGAGCAGCAGCAGCAGCAGCAACCGCAGGCAGTGCAGCAACAGCAGCCGCAGCAGGAGGTGCAGCAGCAGCGGCAGCAGCAGCCACAGCAGCATCAGCAGCAGCAACCACAGCAGCAACCTCATCCAAGTTTAGGTTGTGAATGTTCTAGTGGGTTGGGTGTACTCACAAATCCCAACCTCACCCAATGTGATCCCCCCAATCTCCAATTACCCAATCGGAGATTCTGGAGATCCCAATGGGGATTCCCCTCCGATTCCCCCTTTATCCATTCTCCCTTACCTTGCCATATAGTTATAGAGCCTTGGGCTTCTTACCTAATCAATCATTTTCAACTCTATTTCTTACATGGTATCAGAGCGACCTATCCGCACACGCGGATCAAGGTCCTAATATGAACGTGCCCGCGCTACGCGCACCTCATCGTTGCGACATTCATCTCGAGTCGTCGGAATTTCGACGAGCTCGACTCTGCAGTCGCGCCTCTCATCGTCGACCACCTTCGCGCTCGACCTCGTTGAATTTCTCATCTCTGAAGCTTTCACGCTTCTCATCGTCGATTTCCTCCTCGGTTCTCCTTGGTCAAATCTCAATTTCGACCATCTCTTAAAACTCGTTCTCGAATTTCCCCTCAGACCCCGCAAGAAAAGGCGAACTCCCATCTCAAAATCACCTCCACAAACGTCTCGCGTCAAGCAAGAGCAGGTACACAGGTTGAAGCGGAGCGGAGCTGGTTGCGGAGCTGGTTGCGGAGCTGTGTAGCTGCGGGACAGGGCCTGGGGTTGTGTGGGGGGGTGTGTGGGTCCGGGGTTAGACATAGGTCTCGGATTCAGTTTCAAGTCGGCGTTTTAACGAATTTTCGCCGACGCCATTTCCTTCTTAGCGGCATTTTGATTTTCAGCAATTTTCGTCGACCAATTTCCAGAAGTGCCGCGCTGCACACCGACAATGGCTTATTCAACCACTTCACTCGCCAACCCGATCCCGCTCCTTCGTCTCGAGCCGGACGGTACATGCTCCAACTACAAGGCTTGGCGCTATGGTGTCGACAAGCACCTCCTCAGTCGCAAGGTGAAGGGGCTCGAGCTCACCGACGTCCTTCTCAATATCGGTGATGGCAAAGAGCCTCCTAAACCCGAGAGGTCCGCCGATCCAGCTAATGCCGCCGCCGAAGCAGTTTATGCTGCTGCACTGCTCAAGTACAAGAATTGGGAGAAGGCCGATGGTGCGGTCATTAGTGTCTTCATGGGCACCACTCCTCCCGAACTCGTCGAAACATACCACAACTACCCGTCTGCCAACGCCATTTGGCTCTACCTCGAAGACCGCTTCCTGAACAAGACTACAGTGGGAGTTGCTATACTCATCCCCAGCATGTTCCAAGTGCGGCTCGAGGACTCGCCAGGCATGGCGGACTATGTCACCAAGGTGCAGTCCATTCATGGTGAACTCAAACAGTTGGGGATAGTCTTCCCCGAGCAAGCCCCTGCCAGTCGCTCTCCTAGTCGGCCTCACTCCGGCATACGAAGTCACACGCAAGATGCTCTTGGGCCTTGCTCCTGCAGACCTCACATTTGCCAAGGTCTCATCTGCGCTCCTTTCTGCCGAAAAGGACAACAGCGAGCGCTCAAGCCAAGGCCAATGCAATCCGCGCTCCCGTGCCTCAAGCCTATGCCGCTTCGGCGCCGTTCCAGCGCAACCGCTTCCCCCCGTGTCCCTACGTCATCAAGCGCGGCCCTCGTGCCGGCCAGGTGTGTGGCGGCACCAACCACGCCCTTGCCTCCTGCTTTAAGAAGAAGGAGGACGAGTGGTATGCCGTCAATGGGACGGCCTCCAAGCCGCCAAGCTGGATGGTCAATCGTGCTCCTCGCAAGGTCACTCAAGTCGAAGCGCAGGAATCCGTGCAGGCTGCTGTTGCTCCACCTGCTGATGTGCGCCTCAACATGTTGTTCCCTGGCACTGCCATGATTAATGAAACGATTTCGCAGTATCCTGGCTTACAAAGCACCTCAGCCACAATAGAGTTCACCCTCGACAGTGGGGCCACTCACACGGTTCTCAAGGAAGAACACTCCTTCAAGCCATACGAGACACCAATCCGTTTACTAGGAGCAGACTCCAGTTTCACAACACACGCCAAGGGCTTCCTCCGCAGTTCCGTGCCCAGCTTTTCCTTCGGGCAGTGTGACTGGCATGTGTGTTCCCACACTACGCCACAATCTCGTGGCCCAACACAAGCTCCAACGGGCAGGCGTCACCACGATCTTCCCAGCACAATCGGATCACTGTGACCTCCTCGACCCTAAGTCCAAAAAGCTCCTAGCACGCTTCACACTCAAAAGCAGCAAGCTCTACACACTGCGCTCACCTGCACCTCTCGCCGCCCTCTCCCAAGCGCAAGCTGCCAGCACCACTCCGTGTTCGTGTCGCAGCTTCGCCAACCCAACCATCCTCTACCACCATCGCTTGGGTCACCCCAACTTCCGTACACTTGCCGACATGGCTTCCAAGAAACTTCTTCTTGGCCTCCCGTCGGCGCTTCCTCCACCAACAGACTCGCCTGCACCCACCTGCCTGGACTGCACCAAGAGCAAGCTCAGGCAGCAGCCGCACCCTTCCTCCCCATCCGTCGTAGCTGCCCCGCTGGACCTAGTGCACATGGATGTCTGGGGCCCAGCTCCAGTCGCATCCCGAGGTGGTCATCGGTACTTTCTTACACTAGTCGATGACCACTCGCGGTATGTTTCTGTGCACCTCCTGCATACCAAGGCGGAGGCACCTGATGTCATCATGGCGTGGGTGCGCCAGGCTCAAGTCACGTTCGGCACTCCTCTGAAGTGCCTCCATTCTGATGGCGGGGGAGAATTTCGCAATGGCAAACTCGATAACTTCTGTGCGGCCCAAGGGATTCGGCAAACCTTCACGCTCCCCGAAAGCCCGCAGCAGAATGGCATTGCAGAGAGCTGCAACCACACCTTGGTTCAGATCGCTCGCTGCCTCCTCAGTCACGCCAACGCATCACGGTCACTCTGGGGATATGCCCTCTTCCATGCGGCACTCCTCTACAATCTTTATCCGCATCCCCACCGGCCTGACACCACACCTACCGCTCTCTGGCTTGGGGTTACGCCTTCCGCCCGCTCTCTACGCGTCTGGGGGTGTACCGCGTATGTGTTGCTAAGCCCCCACACGCGCAGGAAGCAAGGTGGCAAGCTTGGTCCCAAAACCCAGACCTGCATGTACCTGGGGCACAACTCTGACTCCCCAGACTACTTATTCCTCAACCCCATCACCAGACAGCTGATTCGCAGCCGTGATGTCGTCTTCGATGAGACACGCCCATTCCACTCTGCGACCACGGGCGAGCCTCCTCCACCTCCCCCGACGCTTGTTTGGGCAGACTTCGATGCCCCACCTCCGGCCGCTGCCCCTTCTCCGGGGCCTTCTCCGTCTGGCGTGTCTCACCCGGCCTCCCCAGTATCCTCCGCAGCGGCACCTCCTCCTGCTCCGCCTTCCCGCGCTTCGAGCCCGGCTCACCAGTCTCCTACCGGAGGCGCCCAGTCCCTCCGGTCCCACCGCAGCCGCCTTCGTCTCCGATCTCTAGTCGCACTCGTTCCAAGGGACCGGCTCCGCCTGGGGACCAGCCGCCTTCTCCATCCGGTGTTCGGTCACCCCGCCTCCTCCTACCGGGGGTGATGTCCCCTCCATCCGTATTCCCCCCCCGTGCACTTCTGGAGGACAGGCATGAGGAGCTGTTTGACCTTCACGCGGTCTGCCAATTTCTCTCTCACATCTTCCCGGACATTACTGACTGCCCTTCCCTCAACTTCACCGAGAACCCGACCATTCCGACTCCTCGCACAAAAGAGGAAGCTCTCTCGGGGCCTTATAAGAAGGAGTGGAAGGCAGCAATGAATGTGGAGAACGAGGCGTTCATTCGCAACAACAGCTTTGACGATGTTGTTCCCCCTTCCGGTGTCAACATCGTCGGCGGAAAATGGATCTTCCGAGTCAAACAACTCCCATGCAAAGCTCCACTGTTCAAGGCACGATACGTGGCGAAGGGTTTCACCCAGAATGAGTATCTCGACTTCTTCGAAACATTCTCGCCCACGGCCAAGCTCCCGACTGTGCGCGCTCTTCTTGATATAGCCGCTCGCGGCAACTTTGAGATCAAGTCCATGGACGCCTCCTCCGCCTTTCTCCAAGGCCAGCTCAAGGAGGATGTTCACATGGAACGCCCACCGGGGTTTCCTGGCACTTACCCTGCCAACACAGTGTGGAAGCTGAAGCGCCCAGTGTATGGCCTCAAGCAGGCTCCTCGTGAGTGGCACAACAAGGTGAAGGAAGTCCTCCTCGCACTTGACTTCCATCCCTCTGCCTCAGATTCCAGTCTCTTTGTTCGTCACTCCTCTGAGCCCTTCTACATCCTCGTCTACGTCGACGACTTCATTCTTGCTGCCAGAGATCCAGCCGACATGGCAGCTGTCCAGTCTGCTCTCAGCTCCGCCCTTCTCATGAAGGATCTTGGTGACCTCAAGAACTACCTGGGGATGGAGATCACTCGTGACCGCCAGGCTTGCACGATCACCCTCTCCCAGGAGTCCTACATCGACAACCTTCTCAAGCGGTTCGACATGGACTCCAGTAACTCTGTCTCCACTCCACTCCCACTACAGCATCAGCTCACGGCCCCTCCAGTTCCTTCTCCTGACGCCTGCAAGGACCCGTACCCTGAGCTAGTCGGTTCACTCATGTATGCCATGATGTGCACTCGACCAGACTTGGCTTACCCGGTTAGGTACGTCTCCCCCGGACGCTACACTGCCTCGCATTGGTCTGCAGCCAAGAGGGTCCTCCGCTATCTACAAGCCACCAAGTCTCACATCCTCACTCTTGGTGGTACCTCTCCAGTCAAGCTCGAGGGATACACAGACTCCTCATGGGCCGATGACCAGACTGACTGACGCTCCTCCCAAGGGTACTGCTTCACCCTTGGTAGCGGAGTCATCATTTGGCGCTCCACTCGGTCCTCTGCAGTCTCCTTGTCGTCCTGCGAGGCCGAGCTCTACGCGGGCACAATGGCTGCTCAAGAGGCACGCTGGCTCTCCTTTCTCCTCGCTGAGTTAGGCTACCCCCAGCAGTCGCCCACCCTGTGGTGTGACAACCAGAGTGCCTTTCATCTCACCAAGGATCCTGTGTTCCACTCTCGCATCAAGCACATCGAACTTCGTCATTTCTTCATCCGAGATCTTGTTCAGAGTGACCAGCTGACGGTACGATACATTGCCTCCGATTGCAACCTCGCCGACCTCTTTACCAAGGCTCTCGGCAAGGCTGACCACCATCGCCTTCTCCGTTCCATGGGGCTATGTGCTCCTTGATCGGGTTTGCAGTCTATGGGGGTGTGTTAGAAATAGACTGCAAATACCACTTTTGTATTTGTACTTTTATATCCTAGTTTAGGTTATGAATGTTCTAGTGGGTTGGGGTGTACTCACAAATCCCAACCTCACCCAATTGTGATCCCCCCAATCTCCAATTACCCAATTGGAGATTCTGGAGATCCCCATGGGGATTCCCTCCAATTCCCCCTTCATCCATTCTCTCTCACCTTGCCATGTACTTATAGAGCCTTGGGCTCCTTACCTAATCAATCATTTCAACTCTATTTCTTACAAGTACAGTAATCAGCTTCTGCTCAACTCAGTCAGAAGGGAATTGAAGTTCTCAAAGAGAAGGGGGAGCAGCTCAGAGAAGGAAATGTGTTCCTTTCCTGCTTCGCTGATGCCATATGGGCTTCTGAGCATAAGGATACATCGTCAGTTGGTGGATATATGTGCATGGTGGGAGGTTGGCCTATAAGCTGGAGGTCCGAGAAGCAGTCTGAATTAGCTCTATCTATAGTGGAATCTGAGTACATGGCGATGTTTCATGCGGCAAAAGAAATCATCTGGCTAAGGAGGCTCTTGAAGGAGATCGGCCATGAACAGACTTGTGCGACACCTCTGTTCAGTGACAGCAAGGGAGCCATTGCCATGGCACGCAATGCAGTTCTTCATGGGTTGAACAAGCACATGAGGATCAAGTGGCATTGGTTGCGGAAGGAGGTGAAGCTTGGAACACTGGATCCGATCTACGTGAAAACACAGCAACAGCCAGCCGACTTCCTTACCAAGCGGCTAGCTGAAGAGCCACACTGGCGCTGTGCGAGGATGGCGGGAATGTCCTTGAACTAGAGACGGCGAAACAAGCTGACAGTCTGAGGGGGAGTGTGTTGGTGCATATTCGTTTGCACGTCATCCTGTCGTCTGTTCGCATCATTTTGTTGCATATGTTTTGTGTGCTACATTGTTTGTATGGTTTGTTGGGTTTGCATGTCTTTGCATGTTCATCTTGTGCTTGTGCAGATGTGCTTGGATTGTGCATGACATCGAGCACATTTCAACGAGCCAAGAATTGCTGGAATCGGAGCACATATGAAGAAGTTACGAAGAAATGTTTGATGGATTTGTTACAACTCATTGGAAGTCCTTGGCAGCTGCTACACCAAAGTTGGAGAGCCCTATAACGAGGAGGGACCAGCATGTGTGGGACTTTTGTCCTCACCTTGCAGCTGCAGCATTTGGGGGTTGGAGGCCAACCTGGCACAGTGTGAATTTTGTCTTGCCAGGCTGGTTGAACCTGAGGATGGGGAGTCAAGACTTTGACTCTTGTCATGTTCTTGACAATGGGCCTCCAGGGTCCTTCCCTTTCATCCTTCCCTTCCATCCCCACCTTCCAACTGTGCTTCAATGCCTTTTCTATCATGCCTTTGAACTTGTAAGCTTCAATGATAGTGACTCTGAGGATTGTCAACTTCTCCTAGGGCAGATTACCCCCCAGTGCGCCAAACGCCATAGCTCACTCGTTAAGCTACGGAATCGAGTGATTCAATATTCAGTGGAAAGCTGATGCTGCAAGCTACAACATATCCGATTTTCAGATCGTTTCACCGATTGGAGTTTTGGATATAGCTTTTCGAAGGTCGCGGGTTTTCTGGGCGTCATAACGAAGTGCTGCAGAAATTTCCGAGCCATTGAATCATCTGCTTATAGCCTTCTATAACCAACAGCTGGAAGCTGCGAAACTGCTGCAGCTCCTGGGGAGTTATGGGGTCAGCGATAGAGGAGGAGGAGGAGGAGGAGAGCTGAAGATGAGAAGGGAGGAAAGACGGAAGGGTTTTGACATCCTGGAGAGAGGGGCGGGGATCCATGGCAGACCAGCGTGGGGGTGTGCCAGTGTTGCCACGCTCGAACCAGGCGTCATCATACGCTTTGAAGCAGGTCGTTGGGGGATGGTTGGTTTGGGTGCAGCGCTCACCCGCCCTGGGACCAAAACGGCGAAGATAGGAACATGGGGGGAGAGTGCCAGGGCGGCCACCACGGCTACCAGATGAGCCACCACTGCCACCACCACCACCACTACTGCCACCCTCGACCCTGCCACCACCGCCGCCGGCTCCGTTGCCCCCACAACCGCCACCTCCACCCCCTCCTGAGGGTTGGTGCGGCCGCCACGTGGGCGCCCTCCACGACTTGGCTGTGCAACTGCAAGCTGGGGTTTGGGGACTCGGTGGAGTTCAAGCCGGAAGGGGGGGTTGAGAGGAGGCGGGCCTCAGCGTCAATGATCCACTGGACCACAGTGTCAAGGGAGGCACGGGGCTGAGCCTCAGTGAAGGGGATGACGCGCACTTCATATTGAGGGGAGAGGCCTTGGAGGAGACGGTAGATCTGGAGGTTGGAGGGAGAGTAGTCTGGCGAGCCTCTAGGTGGGAGGCAAGGTCCAGGAGACGGCTGGTGTAGTCAACGGCGCCAGCACTATTTTCGATCGTGATGCTGAAGTATTCCTTGAAGAGCGGTCCAACAGTGTCGAAGTCGGTGCGTTTGAACATCGCCTCAAGCTCGAGCCAGATCTGGCGGGAGCCGATGCGACGTGCCTGGAAGTTGCGCATGAGCGCAGGCGGGATGGCAAGGAGAAGGGCACCAGTAGCACGGCTGTCCACCTCGAGCAAAGCGCGACTACGCTCGGCAAATCGCGCAGAGTCAGCGGCATAAGCGGCGGCAGTAGCGGCATGCTGGTTGCGGAGGGTGGCCGACCGCTCGTGTTCCTCCAAAGCGATCAGGTAATCAGTATGGAGCACGAGGAACTCACGACGCTGAGTAACAAAGAGCAGCTCAACCTCAGCGGTGGCAGCGCGAGTGCTGGTGCCAACGGGTACCACGGGGGGCAGAGGTTCCTCGCCGGGATGGGGAATGAGAGGGGGGGGATCGCCAGGGTGAGGCGGCGGGTCCCCAAGGTCACCCTCTGGGAGACCAAGCATGATGTCCAAGAGGCGGAACGGCAGGACATATGCACTGCCAAGGACGCGGTGGAGGCTGCCGACGAAGGAATACCAGTTGGTTGCTGAGTTGTCGGCAGCGCGCACCAAATGATCGAGGGTCGAAATGTCGACAGGAGGGGGATAGGATGCCATTGGTGACATGGAGTGGGAGGAAGGCGACGGTGGGTGGACCCGCGGTGGCCTGGAGGGAGCGGCGGCGGGTGGACCCGCGGTGGCTCAAAGAGGAGGGAGGATGGGGATGGCTGTAGCTACTGCTGCTGCTCCACTGCTGCTGCTGCTGCTGCTGCTGCTGCCGCTGCTGCTGCTGCTGCTCCTTCTTCTGCTGCTGCTGCTGCTGCTCCTTCTTCTGCTGCTGCTGCTGCTGCTCCTTCTTCTGCTGCTGCTGCTGCTGCTGCTGTTGCTGCTGCTGCTGCTGCGGCTGCTGCTGCTGCTGCTGCTGCTGCTGCTGCAGCTGCTGCTGCTGCTGCTGCATCTGCTGCTCCTTCTGGTGCTGCTGCTGCTAGCTGATGGCAGTTAGCTGATGGGGAAAGATGGCAGTTAGCTGATGAAAGTAGGACTTGGTGGAAATTTCAGTAGCACTTCGTGATCACATCCAGGAAAATATGCAAACTTCGGAAAGCGATATCTGACAATCCTGTCGTCTGTTCGCATCATTTCGTTGCATGTGTTTTGTGTGCTACATTGTTTGTATGGTTTGTTGGGTTTGCATGTCTTTGCATGTTCATCTTGTGCTTGTGCAGATGTGCTTGGATTGTGCATGACATCGAGCACATTCCAACGAGCCAAGAATTGTTGGAATCGGAGCACATATGAAGAACTTACGAAGAAATGTTTGGTGGATTTGTTACAACTCATTGGAAGTCCTTGGCAGCTGCTACACCAAAGTTGGAGAGCCCTATAACGAGGAGGGACCAGCATGTATGGGACTTTTGTCCTCACCTTGCAGCTGCAGCATTTGGGGGTTGGAGGCCAACCTGGCACAGTGTGAATTTTGTCTTGCCAGGTTGGTTGAATCTGAGGATGGGGAGTCAAGACTTTGACTCTTGTCAGATTCTTGACCATGGGCCTCCAGGGTCCTTCCCTTTCATCCTTCCCTTCCATCCCCACCTTCCAACTGTGCTTCAATGCCTTTTCTATCATGCCTTTGAACTTGTAAGCTTCAATCATAGTGACTCTGAGGATTGTCAACTTCTCCTAGGGCAGATTACCCCCCAGTGCGCCAAACGCCATAGCTCGCTCGTTAAGCTACGGAATCGAGTGATTCAACTTTCAGAGGAAAGCTGATGCTGCAAGCTACAACATATCCGATTTTCAGATCGTTTCACCGATTGAAGTTTTGGATATAGCTTTTCGAAGGTCGCGAGTTTTCTGGGCGTCATAACGAAGTGCTGCAGAAATTTCCAAGGAGCCATTGAATCATCTGCTTATAGCCTTCTCTAAGCAACAAGTGGTATCAGAGCCCATTATCACGCATTTGGGACCTAAAATACGATGGGAGATAAGGAGGACTCTGGTGGAGGTGATACTTCAGTCCAAGGAGGCAGCTCAACCCAAGATTCTGGCATTGCAGCGCAAAGGGGAGCGCATACAAGCCAGGGGTCACTGCTTAAGGAGGTGCTGAAGAGCTTCACCATTGAGAAGTTCTCTGGAGATGGCTATGACGATTGGGCATGGAAGATGCAGCTCTACTTTCGACAAATTGGCCTCTTGAAGCTCATGATTGGAACGGAGCCAAGGCCAAAGGAAATGGCAGAGCAAGCGGACTGGGATGAACGTTCATCTGCTGGGTATTATCTACTGTCACAAAGCTTGGAGCTGAACCAGAGGCATCACATCATGCATCTGCTACCGGAAATTGATTGTGGGCCCAAGGCATGGGCAGTGCTCAAGGACCTGCACGCTCCGACATCGGTTGCCGCTTCTCTCATGCTGGATCGGGAGCTGTCCATGCTGCGGTTGAGCGAGAATGAACCTGTGCAGCCCGTACTGGACAAGATGAGGGAACTCTACGCGAAATTGGCGATTGCAGGCATCACGTACCCTGAGCAGACTAAGTGTCTCAAGATGCTCAGCCTGCTGCCCGAGTCTTGGCTGCAATTTATAAGCGGACTCAGCTTGCCACAAAACCAAAGTCAATGGACATTGGAGTGGATTCGCACCAAGATTCTGGAAGAAGATTTTCGTCGCTATACACTGCGTGGAGGTGATGACAGCACCAGCGGCTATGCCATGCAAGGGACATGGAGGGATCGAGGGCGTGGCAATCGCGGTCGCTCCTACTACAACCAAGGTGGTCGCGGGACTTGGAACCAGCGGGGGCGTGGTGGCGCTGGTGCAAGAGGAAGAGGTGGTCACTTCAACAATGACAACAGTGAACCACGCTTGAGGGGAGAGTGCTGGTATTGCAAGGAAGAAGGGCACCCATGGTTTCGCTGCTCTACCAAGCCCGACTGGTGGACCCCTTGGAACCAATCGCAAAAGGGGAATGGAGGAAAGCAACCACAAGGAGGTGCCAACATGGTAGCTGATCCTGCTGAAGAAACCTCCAAGGATGACAGAGGATTGGGAAATGAGGAGAGGAATGCTGGACAGTTCTACCATGTGTGTGACAAAGATGACAGTGGCACAGCTGTTGCAAGGGCTGGAGAGGAACTGCACCCGCTTGACATGTGGGTCATGGACTCTGGTGCTGCATGGACAATGACACCACGCAAGGACTTGCTGGATGCTGTGCGAGCGCCTCCAATCTCCGAAGTGCGCTCAGCATCCGGACATGCAGTGAAGGTCGCTGGAGTTGGTCGAGCTGCATTCAGAGCACCTGATGGTGGACTGGTTGTGCTGAAGGACGTGTTACTCGTACCGGGGCTGAAGGCCAATCTGATATCGCTGCGCAAGCTAGGCCAGGCCGGAGTCAGCACCACCACCAATAGATCCAAAACATTCAAGGGGCTGCGAGGAGATTGTGTGTTATGGGATTTACACGAAAGCAGAGATGTCTTCAGATCCATGTGGCAGATCCCTGCACTGATATGGGAATCAACAAAGAAGGAGTTGGGAGCAGTAAAGGCGGGATCTGGAGTCCAGGGGGAGTGCAATGCAGTTAGTGCTGCAGGAGTGACGGTTTCTGCAAGGTCGGGGGAGACTGATTGGGAAACCGCACACAGGCGTCTAGGGCATGTGGCTATGCCATTGCTGCAGCAACTGCATAAGGAAGAAGCAGTGAAGGGGCTGAAGCTTTCTGGGCAACCAAATGATACCAAGTGCGAGACGTGTCTGCTGAGCAAGTTCACACGGTTCCCCTTTCACGGCGTAGCTGGGAAAAGCAAGGCAGCACTGGAACTGGTGCACATGGACCTGGTAGGACCTTTTCCAGTTCGAGGAAGTAAGGGGGAAAGGTACTTCCTGACAATAGTTGATGACTGGAGTCGGCTGATGTGGGCATACCCGTTGAAGCAGAAGGATCATGCTGCCTCAACAATACGAGATGACTGGCTGCCGTTCGTCGAGCGACAATCTGGGCACCCATGCAAGAGCATCAGAACCGACCGAGGTGGAGAGTTTCTAGGAGGAGATCTGACTGCGTGGCTCAAGAAACAAGGCATTGAGCATCAGCTAACGACGTCCTATACCCCTCAGTCAAATGGCGTTGCTGAGAGGGCTAATAGGACCATCCTGGAAACTGCGCGAGCGCTGCTGATCGAATCAGGGCTGGGGAACTCCATGTGGCCTCATGCGGTGAGGCATGCTACAGTGGCAAGGAACCGCGTACTCACAAAGGTAGCTGATGATATGTGGGTGCCGCTGGAGAGGTGGCTTGGAAAGAAGCCTCCAGTGGACATGCTCAGAGTGTTCGGATGCATGGCAGTGGCGCATGTCCCTAAACCGTACAGGACAAAGCTTGGAGCATCTGCACTGTGGTGTGTGCACCTTGGACTTGCGGCAGAGAGTAAGGGGTGGCTACTCTGGGAGCCCTCGAAGAATGTGCTGTTTGACAGTCGGGATGTCAAATTTGTGGAGAACATCATGTATGGCAAGTGGGAGAAGCAGCCGGAGGCAAGGGTCACCCAGCAGCTGGAAGAGATCACTATGCACTTCGATTTGTCCGAACCTGAGGACAGCGAAGTCACTGCGCCAACGGCAAGCGGTACTGATGAAGGAAGCAATGAGGATATTGCAGCTGATGCTGAAGTCAAGGATCCGGAGCAGCAGCAGCAAGAGGCTTCCAAAACACCAAGTCTGCCAAAGCGAAGGAAACAGATTGGTGGGGGGACAAAGGATTGGGTGAAGGTGAAAGATTGGGTAAATCCAACCATCTACCCTGCACGTACCAGAATGGCAACGAGAAAGCTGCTGAGCTCTACAAGTGGAGGAGCCACAACTGAGCAGCAGGAACAGGCTCAAGGCGAAGATGCAGTGCTGTTCTTGGGTAATGACCAAGAGTCAGATGACGAGGAGCCTGCATACTGCTTTTACGCACCAATACAACCTCCGAGCATGGATCATGCGCTAGCCGGGCCTCAACGGGGGAAGTGGCTCGTTTCAAGAGATGCAGAGTACAACAGCCAGATGGAGAATCACACATGGGACCTGGTGTACTTGCCAAATGGGAAGAAGGCAATACAGTGCAAGTGGCTGGCAAAAATCAAGACGGATGAGAAAGGAGAGCCATCAGTTTACAAGAGCAGGCTGGTGGCAAAGGGGTTTCAGCAGAAAGAGAAAGAAGATTACAAAGAAGTGTTTGCCCCAACTGCTAAGTCTCCAACGCTACGTGTGCTGCTGGCGGTAGGTGCTGTGCGCAAATGGAAGGTGAAGCAGATGGACATCGTAACCGTTTTTTTGTACGGCATTGTGGAAGAGGAGGTGTACATGGTTCAACCACCTGGCTATGAGGATGGAACCGGTCGTGTCTGCAAACTTAACAAGGCCATCTATGGCTTGAAGCAGGCCCCGAGATGCTGGTACAACAGGCTGGCCAGTGCACTGGAAGGGATTGGATTCCGTGCGAGTGCATGCGACGAAAGCCTATTCCTGATGGGCGAGGGGGAGTCGCTTGTGCTTCTGCTGGTGTACGTGGATGACATCCTGCTCTTCAGCAGCAGTGACAAGGAGATCGATGGGGTGCAGCGGAAGCTCACAGAGCAGTTCAAGTGCAAGTCACTTAGAGAGGCAAGGTACTACCTGGGAATGCACATTGAGCGGGATACTGAACGTGGCTGGCTCAAACTGCATCAGGGACAGTACATCAATACCTTGGCTGAGAAGTACTCTCTGCAGGAAGAACGGGAAGTGGTTACACCTTTGCCTTCCGAGTTCAAACTCATAAATGCAGCTGAAGGAGAAGGAGTTGAAAGTGAAGACCAGAGGCAATTCCAATCCATGGTCGGAAGCCTACTCTACGCTGCTGTGCATACTCGGCCTGACATCAGCTTTGCTGTGGGACAGCTGGCTCGAGTAGTGCAAAATCCAACAGAAGAGCAGTGTGGTGCAGCGGAGAGAGTGGTGCGCTACCTCAAGTCATACCCTACAGTGGGAGTACAGTATTCAGCCTCTGCTCAACTCAGGCAAAAAGGAGTTGAAGTCCTTCAAGAGAAGTGGGAGCAGCTCGGAGAAGGAAAGGTGTTCCTTTCCTGTTTTGCTGATGCCACGTGGGCTTCTGAGCATGAGGATTCATCATCAGTTGGTGGATACATCTGCATGGTGGGAGGTGGGCCTGTAAGTTGGAGGTCCAAGAAGCAGTCTGAAACGGCACTATCTTCAGTGGAATCTGAGTACATGGCAATGTTTCATGCAGCAAAAGAAATCATCTGGCTAAGGAGGCTCTTGAAGGAGATCGGCCATGAACAGACTTGTGCGACACCTCTGTTCAGTGACAGCAAGGGAGCCATTGCCATGGCACGCAATGCAGTTCTTCATGGGTTGAACAAGCACATGAGGATCAAGTGGCATTGGCTGCGGAAGGAGGTGAAGCTTGGGACACTGGATCCGATCTACGTGAAAACTCAGCAACAGCCAGCCGACTTCCTTACTAAGCGGCTAGCTGAAGAGCCACACTGGCGCTGTGCGAGGATGGCGGGAATGTCCTTGAACTAGAGACGGCGAAACAAGCCGACAGTCTGAGGGGGGGTGTGTTGGTGCATATTCGTTTGCACGTCATCCTGTCGTCTGTTCGCATCATTTCGTTGCATGTGTTTTGTGTGCTACATTGTTTGTATGGTTTGTTGGGTTTGCATGTCTTTGCATGTTCATCTTGTGCTTGTGCAGATGTGCTTGGATTGTGCATGACATCGAGCACATTCCAACGAGCCAAGAATTGTTGGAATCGGAGCACATATGAAGAAGTTACGAAGAAATGTTTGGTGGATTTGTTACAACTCATTGGAAGTCCTTGGCAGCTGCTACACCAAAGTTGGAGAGCCCTATAACGAGGAGGGACCAGCATGTGTGGGACTTTTGTCCTCACCTTGCAGCTGCAGCATTTGGGGGTTGGAGGCCAACCTGGCACAGTGTGAATTTTGTCTTGCCAGGTTGGTTGAATCTGAGGATGGGGAGTCAAGACTTTGACTCTTGTCAGATTCTTGACCATGGGCCTCCAGGGTCCTTCCCTTTCATCCTTCCCTTCCATCCCCACCTTCCAACTGTGCTTCAATGCCCTTTCTATCATGCCTTTGAACTTGTAAGCTTCAATCATAGTGACTCTGAGGATTGTCAACTTCTCCTAGGGCAGATTACCCCCCAGTGCGCCAAACGCCATAGCTCGCTCGTTAAGCTACGGAATCGAGTGATTCAACTTTCAGAGGAAAGCTGACGCTGCAAGCTACAACATATCTGATTTTCAGATCGTTTCACCGATTGAAGTTTTGGATATAGCTTTTCGAAGGTCGCGAGTTTTCTGGGCGTCATAACGAAGTGCTGCAGAAATTTCCAAGGAGCCATTGAATCATCTGCTTATAGCCTTCTCTAAGCAACAAGCTGATAGGGAAAGATGGCAGTTAGCTGATGAAAGTAGGACTTGGTGGAAATTTCAGTAGCACTTCGTGATCACATCCAGGAAAATATGCAAACTTCGGAAAGCGATATCTGACAATCCAAGCGGTGAAACAGTCTGAAATTTTACGACGTTGTAGCTGCCAGCAAGAGCGTTCTTTTGCAAGTCGAATCACTCAATTCTGTCGACTAGCGAGCGAGCTATGGCGTTTGGCGCACTGGGGATGTTTGAAAATCCACCCAACAGAAAACTAGTTGTGAAGGGAAAGAGAGGCGGCGGCTAGGAGTCTAGCAGCGGCGATGGAGGGGACGGAAAAGAGATGCACGTCGGAAGGGGATGGGGCGGAAGCGTGGGGAACGATCGGGATTAAAAGTTGGCGTGAGCCATTATTGCTCTATACCATGTTAGAAACAGAAAATGTTGAGTTTATTGATCAAGCAAAGGCATTACATAGGAAGAGAGAGATGAGCTAGGAAGGGAAGGTTGGAAGGGAAGGGGGGGTTAGGACCAATCACAAGGGAGGGAGGATCCTTCCAAATGTGGTTGACCACAAGTGGGAGGTGGTCCAAGTATGGTGGACCACAGGTGGCTTAGGCAACCCACTTGTGGTGCCCCCACAATTGTGATCCTTGTGTTTGGGGGCTCCGACCACAATTGGGTTGGATTGACACCCCAACACAGGTGTACACCCAACTAGGGATGGAAACACAATATACACAACTAGCATAGCATGGTATATTCTAACAGCTCCTAGGCTACATACAGCAGGATAATAAGAACCAGGAGCACTGGAGTCATCAGCATACAGAGAATACAAGGCATGGCCTATCTGAACCATATCTAATCAAAGATCAGAACACCACGACGAAACAAGGTGGTCCAGTGGGTACCTGCACCAGGGGGGTGTAGTAGCGACGGTAGAGGTCGTCAGGCAGTGGTAACAGCGAGTAGCAGCATGCCCCACACGCCCGCATACCTGGCCCGCCTGTGGGCCGGTCAGCACCTGGTACGTGCAGGTTACCACACCTCCAGGACCACCAACGCCGTGTACCGACCACCAACGCATAGAAGAGCCACTCAACCCCTAGGGTACCGACTGCCCTGGGGCCCAACCTCCACGGCCCCCTCTCCGTCCACCCTCTCCGTCCGCACCCGCACCCCCACCACCTGCTGCTGCCGACCCCCCACGACCCTTGCCCCCATTGCCCTTGCCCTTGCCCCTCTGGCCCAAGGAGGCTGCCACAGCAGTCTCAGTGGCTGCAGCAACCAAGAAGAGGCTCCAGAGACAGGGAGCTGGGGGGCAGAGCTGCCCTAAAAGACTGGGACGGCCACCGTGCCAGTGGTGTCAGCGATGGCACGGAGGCACGACTCAACCGTCGTCAGGGCGGAGGAGAACTCAACGATAGTGAGGGAGGTGGGGGACACAGCAAGGAGCTTGTCAGCAGCAAGAGCAGCAGGCCCTGGAGGGGCAGCTAACGTACCTGAAGTGTGGGCCACAAGGGCCTGGCTGTCCTAGCGAATGGACGTGAGCTGGCGGTGCAGAGCGACGAGCCAGGCCGAGAAGCCCACAGTGCAACCCTCAGCGTCCAGGCGGAGAATAGTGGCAGGCTGGGACACCATAGCGGCAGGTGGCGGGGATGACGGCCACAGCAGGATCGGCAGGAGCTACTGGAGCGGTGTGCTGCTGGCGACAGGAGGAGAAGGCCGCAGACAACGGCAGCTAACGGCGGCGGCGAGCGAAGATGGGAGCGGCAGTGGCCGTGGCAGAAGCTGCTGAAATGGCAGTGAGCGGCAGAAAGCAGTAGGCGGCAGCAGCAGAGGGCGGCTGGTGGCTGCTGGTGGCCGCTGGCTAGCGGACCAGTGGTGTGCTGGCGTGGCCGGCGAGCGGGCAGCGAGGAGCAGTGCGGCTGGCGCTGGCTGGCACGACGAGTAGTGGCGCAGCTGGCGCGGTTGGCAAGGAGCGACGCGGCTGGCAAGGAGCGACGCGGCTGGCATGGCTGGCGAGGCTGGCTCTGGCTCGCGTGGCTGGCACTGGCGCGGGTTGGAGCGGGCGGCACGGCTGGCGCGAGCTCGCGTGACCAGAGCGGGTTGGCGCAGCTGGCGCTAGCTAGCGCAGCTGGCGCGCTGGCTCGGGTGGTGCGGCTGGTGCGAGCGGGCTGGCGGACGCGGCTGGCACTGGCTGGCGTGGCTGGCGGGACTGGCGAGAAGCGGCGCAGCTGGCGCTGGCTGGCGCGGGCGGCGCGGCTGGCGCGAGGGGGCTGGCTGGCGCAGCTAGCACAGCTGGCGCTGGCTGACGCGGCTGGCACTGGCAGGCACAGCTGGGGGGAGCTGGTGACAAGAGGCGCTGCTGGCGCGGCTGGCACTGGCTGACGCAGTTGGCGCGCCTGTCGCGGCTGGCGTTGGTTGGCGCGGCTGGCGTTGGCTGGCGAGGCCTAGCGACGAAACAGTTAGGGGCGGCTAGGGGCGACTAGGAGCAGCTAGGGGCGGCCGGAGCGGCTAGGGGCGGTGAGGAGTCGCGTAGCTAGGGGCGGAAGCATGGGTAGGTGGGACCTAACCTAGCTCTAGATGCCATGTTAGAATAGCAAGAATGAGTGGACTTGAAAATGGGAGGTGCGATACAAGTACAAGGGGTTGTATCCTCTAAGAGCTGACATAGCTAGGATACACTAACACATATATCCTAACTGTTAGAAATAGACTGCAAATACCACTTTTGTATTTGTATTTTTATATCCTAGTTTAGGTTGTGAATGTTCTAGTGGGTTGGGGTGTACTCACAAATCCCAACCTCACCCAATTGTGATCCCCACAATCTCCAATTACCCAATTGGAGATTCCGGAGATCCCAATGGGGATTCCCTCCAATTCCCCCTTCATCCATTCTCTCTCACCTTGCCATGTACTTATAGAGCCTTGGGCTCCTTACCTAATCAATCATTTCAACTCTATTTCTTACATGGTATCAGAGCGACCTATCCGCACACACAGATCAAGGTCCTAATCTGAACATGCCCGCACTACGCGCACTTCATCGTCGCGACATTCGTTTCGAGTCGTCGGAATTTCGACGTGCTCCACTCTGCACTCGCGCCTCTCATTGTCGACCACCTTCGCGCTCGACCTCGTTGAATTTCTCATCTCTGAAGCTTTCACGCTTCTCATCGTCGATTTCCTCCTCGGTTCTCCTTGGTCGAATCTCAATTTCGACCATCTCTTAAAACTCGTTCTCGAGTTTCCCCTCAGACCCCGCCAGAATAGGCGAACTCCCCTCGCGAAATAGCCTCCACGAACGTCTCGCGTCAAATCAAGAGCAGGTATACAGGTTGAAGCGGAGCGGAGCTGGTTGCGGAGCAGGTTGCGGAGCTGGTTGCGGAGCTGTGTAGCTGCGGGACAGGGCCTGGGGGTGTGTGGGGGGGTGTGTGGGTCCGGGGTTAGACATAGGCTCAGATTCAGTTTCAAGTCGGCGTTTTAACGAATTTTCGCCGACGCCATTTCCTACTTAGCGGCATTTTGGTACAGCCATCAGAGTGATTTTCAGCAATTCTCGTCGACCAATTTCCAGAAGTGCCGCGCTGCACACCGACAATGGCTTACTCAACCACTTCACTCGCCAACCCGATCCCGCTCCTTCGTCTCGAGACGGACGGCACATGCTCTAACTACAAGGCTTGGCGCTATTGTTGTCGACAAGCACCTCCTCAGTCGCGAGGTGAAGCGTCTCGAGCTCACCGACGTCCTTCTCAACATCGGTGACAGCAAAGAGCCTCCTAAACCCGAGAGGTCCGCCGATCCAGCTAATGCCGCCGCCGAAGCAGTTTATGCTGCTGCACTGCTCAAGTACAAGAATTGGGAGAAGGCCAATGGTGCGGTCATTAGTGTCTTCATGGGCACCACTCCTCCCGAACTCGTCGAAACCTACCACAAATACCCGTTTGCCAACGCCATTTGGCTCTACCTCGAGGATCGCTTCCTGAAAAAGACTGCAATGGGAGTTGCTATACTCATCCCCAGCATGTTCCAAGTGCGGCTCGAGGACTCGCCAGGCATGGCGGACTATGTCACCAAGGTGCAGTCCATTCATGGTGAACTCAAACAGTTGGGGATAGTCTTCCCCGAGCAAGCCCCTGCAGCCGCTCTCCTAGTCGGCCTCACTCCGGCATACGAAGTCACACGCAAGATGGTCTTGGGCCTTGCTCCTGCAGACCTCACATTTGCCAAGGTCTCATCCGCGCTCCTTTCTGCCGAAAAGAACAACAGCGCTCAAGCCAAGGCCAATGCAATCCGCGCTCCCGTGCCTCAAGCCTATGCCGCTTCGGTGCCATTCCAGCGCAACCGCTTCCCCCCGTGTCCCTATGTCATCAAGCGCGGCCCTCGTGCCGGCCAGGTGTGTG